GGGGGGGCGCGGCTAGGCCGGGGCGGCCTGTGAGGCCTGGAGGAGGCGGGGAGGAGGGCAGCGGCCTGCCCCGGCCGCAGCGGCCTGTAGGGACCGGGCGCCTGCCGGGGGGGCGGCAGGGAAGGCGCCTGCCGGGGGGGCAGCAGGGAAGGCGTCTGCCGGGCCACAGCGGCCGGGGGGGTGGGCAGTGAGCCTGTGGGGGTCACAGGACAGAGACCTGCCCAGGCCACAGCGGCCTGAGGAGGCCAGGGAGCTTGTGGGGAGCGGCAGGACAGGGGGCTGCCCGGGCCGCGGCGGCCTTTGGGGTCTGGGTAGAAGGATGTGAGGGCCAGGCCCGGGGGAAGGACCTGCCGGGGGCTGCGGCAGCCCCCGGAGCTGGGGGGTGACACAGGATGTGGAGGGCAGGGGTGAAGGGACAGGCAGGGGGAGGTGGGAGGCAGGGCCTGCTGGGAGGTGGAAGGAGGGTGGGTGTTGGCAGGAATTTGGGGCCTGGGGGAGACGCTGCCCTGAAGAGTCGGGTTCCCACGAGGCCCCTCGCTGCCCCAGGGGGTGACGCGGCTCCTGCTCACCAGGATCCCCTTCTTCAAAGAGATCATCGTCAGCTCCTTCGCCTGCGACAGCTGCTCCTGGTCCAACACGGAGATCCAGTCCGCGGGCAGGATCCAGGAGCAGGGCGTGCGCTACACCCTGGCTGTCACCTCCCGGCAGGTGAGCTGGGGCTCCCCTCCTCGTCCCCACCTTTGTCCCTCACAAGCTGGTCTTGCTTGAGCAATAAAGTGTTTATCTTCTGTGCTGTTTGAGAAGTAGCCTTATTTGTTTGGTAGTAACCATTTAAAGCCCAAAACGTGCACATTTCTGGTGCACTCCTGTGCACAGGTAGCTCTGTCAGCCTCTGTATTTGCTAACGCTGCTGCTTTGGTGGGCGCTGCGTACCCCAGCGTGGGGTCTGGGGACTCAGGGTCCTCTCGGGGACCCTAACTCTGCTCCTGGGCTGTCGTGTGCAGGACATGAACAGGGAGGTGGTGAAGACCGACTGTGCCACGGCTCGAATCCCAGAGCTGGACTTCGAGATCCCTGCTTTCACCCAGAAGGGAGGTGGGTGCTTGGCCTGCGCCCCTCGGCGTGCCCGGGGGTGCGTGGTAGACGCCCGTTAAGGGCCCGGCCTCCTGCCTGTTGGGTCAAACAAGCTTCTCTGGGCCAACCTGCGGAGGCTGCAGGGGGTTGGTGGGAGCTGGCAGGGCGGGCAGCACCGCTGTGTCGTGCTTAATGGTGCCATCATTTCTGTTTTCTTTTCTTCTCCAGTTCTTACTACCATCGAAGGGATAATTGACAGAGCTGTGGCGGGCCTGGAGCAGGACCAGCCCCTCCGCAGGGTAAGGCACCGTGGGAGGGGAAGCTCCTTGGGGGCACCCGCTTGGGAAATGGGTGTTTTTGTTCCTCCTCTGCCCGTTGTCTTTGCCCGCTGCTGCTGAGGGGAGTGTTACAGGCTCTCTGCTTTGTGCTGTGCTCAGCGCTGGCTGCCCCTGGCATCAGTCTCAAAGGTGTCCTCTTCTGCAGGCAACGGATGAAGAGGTGGCAACTAAAATAGATGAGTTCATCGGGAAACTAAAGCAGCTGAAAGAAGTACATTCCTCCTTCACCTTTGTGAGTGCGGGCAAGAGCGCGGCCCCTTCCTGCATGGGGGAGGCGGGGGCTGCCTCCTGAGGCCTGGTTCTCCCCTAGATCCTGGACGACCCCTCAGGGAACAGCTTCGTGGAGAACCCTCACGCGCCGCAGAAGGACGATGCCCTGGTGGTGACTCACTACAGGAGGAGTCCCCAGCAGGCTGCCATGCTGGGGCTGGAGGTACCGGGGAGCTGCTGGGGGCTCAGCCCATGCCAGGCCAGGGGCAGCAGGGCCGGTCAGTGCCCTCGCTCCCTGGGAGGCCCTGGGTTCAGGAACAGAAGTTGATGCTGCTTCTGGTGTCCCCTCTCGCAGGGAGAGGAGCCGGAGGAGAAGCCAACTGAGTCCACCGAGGATCTGAGGAACGAGGTGGGGGACTTTGCAGCACGACGGTGGCCGTGCCTGGGTGATTTCTGGGCTGGCTGGGACTTTCTGATGCTCTTTTTCTTTCGTTCCTGGGACCCAGGTGCTGCAGTTCAACACCAACTGCCCTGAGTGCAATGCTCCCGCCAGCACCAATATGAAGCTGGTGCGTATCCTTGGGCACAGGTCAGTGCCCACTGCAGGGGTCTGCGTGGGGGCTGGAGGGGTGGGAGCCTCTCTGTGGTGCCTCGGGAGGGGCTGAGGCTGAGAAGAAGGCACAGGCTGTGAAGAGGGCACAGGCTGCTTCTCCCAGACCTTCCCTTCCTTGAGTTTTCCTTGACTGCCTGCTCCAGAAATCCCACACTTCAAGGAAGTGATTATCATGGCCACAAACTGCGACTCCTGTGGGCACAGGACGAATGAGGTGAGCTGGAAAACCACTGAGGCTTTTCTGGGGGGCCGTGGGGAGGGGAGTTGGTGGTCTGGGCTTTCTTGGTGGGGGGTTTCTTGGTGTCCCCAGCCTCGGCTTCATGGTGTGGCTGTTGGGGAAGCCGGGCTGGGAGGGAGGTGGGATTTTTGGGCGGTGTGGTGAGGAGCATTGTGGTGGGTGAAGCAGAGCTGCCTTGCTCACTTCTGGGCGGGGGGCAGAGCAGAGGGGAGCTGTGCAGCCCCTGCTGTGTGCGGTGGGGTCAGGCTGGCTCTGATTTACCTTCCAAAACACGGGAAGGGGGACTATTTGGGCTTGAAGAGCTCCACTTGGTGCAAGTCAGCTGTCCCCAGGCTGGGAGTCTGCTCTGAGCTGCCAGGGTGAACCCTCTGGAAGCCCCGTGGCACGTGTTTAAGTTTAAAAGTATAAATTTTTGAGTGTAAAAGTCTGGGAAACTGACTGCTGGGTGTCTGCAGGTGAAGTCTGGGGGAGCCATCGAACCGCAGGGCACCAGGATCACCCTCCGGATTACAGACCCTTCCGACATGACGAGGGACGTCCTAAAGGTACCGTGCCCGCCCTGCCCTCCTGCGGGGGGTGTGGGGGGATCCGGGGCACACGGGGGCACTCACGGGGTGCTCTGCCCCGCAGTCGGAGACGTGCAGCGTGGAGATCCCCGAGCTGGAGTTCGAGCTGGGGATGGGAGCGCTGGGGGGCAAGTTCACCACCCTGGAGGGGCTGCTGAAGGACATCAGGGAGCTGGTGAGTGCCGGGCTGGCCGGTGGGGCTCAGACCCCCATACCTGGCCCGGCTGTGGGGCCGGGGGTGTCTCTGGGCTGGCTGAGTGAGTGGGGCTGCTCTTCCCAGGTGGAGAGAAACCCCTTCACGCTGGGGGACAGCTCTGCGCCCGGCAAAGCGGAGAAGCTGCAGGAGTTCATCGGGAAGCTGCAGGAGGTGGGTGCACTCTTGTTTTTTCCGGGCTCTGGAAGGGGGTTTCCCCACCATCTCTGCAGCTGGGAAGTTTCTCTGAGCTCGGCCAGCCTCACCGTGCCTTCTCTCCTTGTTTTACCAAATTGTTGCTGGTTTTTAACTGAGGGAAACATTAGAACTGAACATCGTGGTGCTGGAAGCGCTGAAGGATCAGGATGAGCCTTAACACCTGGCCGTGCTCTCTTTCTGCAGATCATTGAGGGGAAGACCAGGGCTCACTTCATCATGGATGACCCTGCGGGCAACAGCTACCTCCAGGTACGGCGCTGTGCCCTCGCAGGGCGGGCTCCTTGGAGTCTCCTGAGCAGTTTGGGGGGGTTTTCTTCTTTATTTCCCTGAGGTGGGTGGGTGGGCAGGGTTCCCTGTGGGCTCTGGCAGCGAGTGGGTCCCTCCGGGGAAAGCTGGTGGTGGCTTTGTGGGAAGGAACATGGGAGTGATGTCTGCTCCTGGGGCTGGGAATGGGAGGTCTGGGTCGTGCCCTCCGTGGGGTGATGGGCAAGTCTGGCCCTCGGTGGGGGGAAATCTCCTCTGGGGCACTGGGGAGGGGTGAAAGCCCGTGCTGGTGCCCAGGGCTTGGAGAAGAGGGGTGCGAAGGAGACCTCCATCTCGCCCCACAGAACGTCTATGCCCCGGAGGAGGACCCGGAGCTGAAAGTGGAGCGCTACGAGCGGACGTTTGAGCAGAACGAAGACCTGGGCCTGAACGACATGAAGACGGAGGGCTACGAGTCGGAGGGAGCCTCGGCCCGGTAGCCAGGACCGGCCGGGACCCCTTCAACCTCTTCCTCCCCGAGGGACGCGGGGACCAGGACTTCTTTGGGGCCGGAGCCCCTCTCCCCTTCCCGGGGGTGCCAGCCCTGGGGCAGCCGCTCCAGCCCGCGGGCGGCAGGGCCTCCCCTGTGGGTCCCTCGGGGCGGGAGGGGGGCGCTTCGGGGTGCCTTCGGGGCTGCGACCCCCAAATAAAAGGTGTTTGAAGGAGGCGCGGTGTCATGGTCTCCTCCTCCTCCTCCTCCTCCTCCTCCTCCTCCT